AAGAACCATAAACAAATATTTTCATAAAAGATGGGTAAATATTTTACAAGTTTATTTTTACTTAAATTTCTTATTAATGAGTTCTAATGAGACCGTAAAAGTATTTATTAATTCATTACATTCATCTTTGGTAAATTTATCATTAGATATGCTTTTTAATTTATCATATGAGTAATTTATCTTATTATCTTCATTACTATAAAGTTTTTTGTGTCTGTTTATTTTCTTAAGTATATTATGAGATTGACTTACTTTATCTCTCATAGCTTTACATGACTTAAGCATATTTTCCATTGAATTGATGCCTTCATCTATAGCCAATATTAATTTAGAATAATAAACTTGACAATAGTATTCAGTTTTAAGAGTTGATTTCTTTAACTCTTCATTGTCTTTGATTGATTGAGTTAATTTTTCTTTCAAAGTGTTATTTTCAGTGGCAAGTTCCTTATTGTTCATTCTCATAATTATGCAACTATAATTTTTAATAAATAACTTTAAAATGCATAAAAACAACTCTTTATTTTCTCTATTAATTATAGAAAATTAATTGATGTTTATATTCAATGAAAATAAAAATAAGCTTATCTTATTGTAATTATAGAATATTCTATTAATTAATTTAATTTACCCAATCAAAAAATAACTTCGATAATATTAAAATACACCAACTTAACAGTGTTATTTGAGTTAATTTTTTAAGATCATTGATTATTAATTAAAGTTTTTGATTTTAATATAAATAAAAAAAAATAATTTTACCCTATGAATATACATAGTCCTTCATTACTAACAGGTGTAATAGAAAGTTTTCTAAAGATAAAAACAGAGAAACCTATTGTAAAATTTAATACAATTCCATTAATGATTGGGTGTTACAAACATTCAATGCGAGCTATTCTACAGTGTTATTATGATTATCATAGAAAGAAAGCTATAGTAGATAATTTAAAAAAAGGAACTCAAAATTTTAATCAAAATATTTCTTTAATGAGTGAATTAGAAAATTCGTTAGAAAAGAAAGTATGTCAATTTGAAAAATATTCTTTTCAAGAAGGTATTCTATTAAACAGCATGCATGATAGTCTTTCTAATAAGAATTTTTATGAGGGAGTAGAAGAAATTTACAAAAAAAAATTACAAGCTTATTTTAATGATGAATTTAATTCTAAAAAACAAGATTTGGCTTTTAAAGAAAAAGACGAGAAGAAGAAGAAAAAAAATTTGTTATCTTATACCGAGATAACTCATGATAGTAGAAACGTTCTTAAAACTTATAAAGATTATTATGAAGTACTTTATGCTCATTTAGATAAAGAATATGGTAAATATTTGAGGAGTTTAGATGGAATTAATACAGCAATTCATGAGTATAAACCTTTTGAATATGTAGAAAACAGCCCTTTCTGGTGTATTATGAATGGTTATTTTTTAAACTTATGGAGTTTGAATTATAGAGCATTCTATTTAGTTTCCCATTGTGTAAATTCTATTATAAATGATAATAAAATTAAAAAATTTAATAGAACAGATTTGTATTTAATTGATGGAGTTGAATGGCATGAGAAAGATGAATACACTGAGATCTGTGATAAATTTATTGATAAATTTACTATTCTTCTTTGTGAAGTTGTTCAAAAAGCTAAAGACATAAAAGAATGTAAATTAATTATAGAAGACCAGATGGCTCGTGGTGCGACTACAACTTGTTTAGGTTTTAAAGTTGTAAGTACAAATCCGGTTTGTTTATTTAAACATAAGCAAGCACAAAAAGATTTAAATTCAATTCAAATTGATTTTAAAAAAACCGTTGAGAATTTTGATAAAAAGATTGAACCTGTTAAAAACAATAAAACATATCAAGAATATTTTGATATTGTGGAAAATCAAAAACGTTTTATTAATTATTTTATTGAAATATCTAATTTTAATGTTAGTGGTAAATATTATTTTATTTTTAATGATTTCGTAAAAAGAGTTTGTTTTGTTGAAGAAGAATAAATTGATAAAAGTATTTTGTTTGATAGTGAACTTATTAAGTTTGAGATTTTTAAAAAACATTTAAGTTTAATAAGAATTTTTACTTTCTAAATAAGAAATAATAAAGTAATTAATAAAGAGACTTCCAAGAATAGTAGTAAATCTATAGTAATTTTATTTTTTACTTATTAACCTTTTTGATAACTTAGGAGTAAGATGGAAATGTTAAAAAGCTAATATTTCACGATATAGGAGTAAAATTGAAAATAGTTAAATTCATTTTATTAAATAAAATTATAATAAACATTATTGTTTTTTTAATTGTATTGTATGTAGTTTTGGTTGACAAAATAGTTTTAATTTTGTATATAAAATTATATTATTGTATTTAACACAACAAAATCATTTCTTTATTAAAATTTTGTGTTTTTTTAATCAATAAAATAAAAGAAATATTTGAACAGTTAAAACTTGAAAAAACTGATAGTTATTAAACTGTATTATTGTAAAATATAACTAAAATTTTAAAAAGAAATAGAAAATTTAAATTGAATTTATAAGTGTATAAACACTTTATTATATTTTTTAAGTTTAATATAAAAATAATAGAATATTATTATGTGTTCAATAAGAACATATTAGATAATAAAAATATATAATGTTGTTTAAAAAATAATCAAAGTAAACATTATGTTTATGATAATTTATTGAATTTTTCTAAAAACATCATGAATCAATACTTAGATCATTTATTAAGGAAGAATTGATATTTTTTAATTCTATTTCAAATATTAAAAAACTATAAAAATTTTTTAAAAAGTATATTTGTTTTTTTTTAATTTTAATAAATATACTTATTAAAACAAAAGTTATTATAAATGTTTATAAAATAAAGAATAATTATATATTAGATTTAATAAAAAAAATTATAACAAACTAAAAGATATTTTTACACTAAACATTGTTAAATAAACCCTAATTTGTAGTATAAAAGCTTATTTTTAATAATTATATATTTACCAATTTAAGTGCTGATATTTATTTAAAAAAAACACATATGAGTCCAAAATAATATAATTAACTATTTTTATAATAAAATTTAATAAATCTTGTAAATATTAATGATTTCTTTAATAAATTTATACATTTTAAAATATTAATTTACGTGTTTATTTTAACTAATCTTTCATACTAATTATACTATCAGATTTTATTTATCATGTTAAAAAATTGATTTATATTATGTTTAAAATTTAGATTTTTTAATTCTTAGTATATTTTAATTATATTTATATGATTCAACAACTAAAAATCTATAGATGAGTATAATTTAAATTTATAAATTCATATGAATTTACTTGTTTTATCAAAATTAGAAGAATTTAATCTAAACTTTGTTTTGATCTTTTTTAAGATAAAACTATATTAATCTTATAAAATATAAAGTAATTAAATATTTAAACAATACGATGTAATAGTTAAATATATTATAAGATAATTATAAAACTTTATTAATTGTCAATATTTTAAACTAATTTCAATATTATTTTAATATAGCGGAAATTTTTTAATATAATAAGTTATTATAATACATAAATATAATAAAAAATTAAAAAATACTAATAAAATTGATTTATTTTTTATTAATTTTATTAAAAATAATTATTAAACTTAATAAAGCTTTTTACA